GGGGGCATCACGTAGATCCTTAGGTCACGCCACTTTGTCGTGTTCGATAGGCAGAGAGACAGAGAGACAGACAGACGGACAGCGCAGTTTTGAGCATCTATCTTCCTCATGATGTGTGGGAGGGGTAAGGAGGGGAGGGAAGGGAATGGACGTGGGTTCGCTTGGGTTCATGATTGGGCGGGATGGCTGAAAGGGGGTGGGTGGATGGACTGACTCGTTGGGTCACCCTGGCATACTTGGATGGATTTTGCAGTCTCTGGTGCGTGTCATCTCTTTGGTCCCTCTCGCAACCCTCACTTGTCTCTTCGCCACTTCTCCATTTCACGCGTCTGATCGTGTGAGATGGGTCGGTGGCGAGGCGGCGGCCAGAGGACCGAGAGGACAGACCAAAGGACGGAGGAAAGACCACATCGCACCACATCACATCACACTCACTGGTCAGACAGACTCTGTGTGCCTACTCAACTCACTCAGTGGCGCTGGGGGACAGTCAGTCAGGGGATGGACAGACACAGCCTGACTGAGCTCACTGGCCTCTCTTCTGCCTTTGATGGTCTCCATCACCTGCGTCTCCCCGTGCCGTGTGAGCGTACCGTGAGACTCGGGTGGTGGAGGGGGTCATGGGCAAAGCGGGACAGGGAGCTGAGCTAGATAGAAAGCGCCTGATTGCTCAGATGACTGAATGTGTGTGTCGGCTGCTTGCGTCGGATGCAGCTAGTTGCGGTTGCTGCTTATTGATTCGTGCGTGTCGGGATGTCCCGACACTCAGACATTGACTGCATATCATATCCACTGACTGCAGATAGATCAGATCCGTCAACGAGCTTGAGTCCCACGTACACACACGAGCAGATAGAGGAAACACTGAAAAACACGATGGCAGCATATGCCGTCCGTCCGCCCGTCCCTCATCGTTAAACTGCGTCTTCGCCCTCCCACTTCACAGCACAACTGAAAAAGACACGCAGGCAGGCAGGCAGGCAGGCAGAGGAGCTGAGGTCATTACAGGCATCACGGCAAGGCAGCTGTCATGCCTCTCCCTCCCCCCATTCACTCATTGACTTCAGTGCCCTTTCCCCCTCCCTCCCTCCCTCCCCGTGTTAGATAAACAAACCAGCCCGGGCAGATAGATGTACGTTGCGTATGCCTGCACGTACCGTACCACAGCACAGCACAGCACCATCTGTACGTACCTGCCTGCCTGCCTTGATGTGATGTCGGCCCGGCCACGTCTGTCTGTCTGTCTGTGTATGTATGTATGTCTGTAGACAGACACACCAGCCCAGATCAGCCACCCACTGCTCCCTCCCTTGTCTTCCTTCCCCTACTTCACCCACCCAGCCAGCCACCCACCCACCCACCCAATGCAATGCAGACAAGACAGCCAGCTGTACACACACGCATGCAATGCAACGCAACGCAACGCAATGCAATACAGAAAGACCCACCTCACCTGGGCAGTCAGTCAGTCAGTAGGTCGAGTTGGCAATTTGTCTGAGCACCCCCTCCAGCACCACCAGCACATTCGCGCCAACCATATGTCCCAGCGAGTACGCACCCACCACGTTCCTGGTAGCCAGCGTCACGAAAAAGGCCGCCCTCTCCATCTGGTTGACCCCTCTACCCCGTCCCCTCCCCACCCCCAACCCCACTCCCTCGCACCGCACGTTGGCCTCGCCCATCCCAAACGGCACAGACAAGTCCAGCGACCAACCCGCTGCCGCATCGCCCCCTCGCTTATCGTAGCCGTGGGGGGCCAGTGGGGGTGAAGGGGTGCAGCTGTCACCTGACGTCGCGCGAGACAGATGATGGGGGTCGCCGGGATGGTAAGTCGGTGTGGAGCGGTGCTGATTGATGTCGCCATGTGCAGCCGAGGAGGGGGCGCTGGATGGATGGTGCGCGCTGGCCATGGTGCGGTCGTCGGTTTCGATGGTTGTGTGGGAGGAGGGTGAGACGGGGGGGGAGGGCGGGAACGGGGCAAGGGGTGTGGTGCAGCTGCTGCTGCTGCAGGGAGGCGCCTGGCAGAACGTGTAGGCCACGAGATTACACGGCTCGGCCGACAGCCTCTCGGCCTCGAAGTAGACCGACCGCCACACTTCGGCACTCCTGAATGAATGCCACACGGACGTCACACACGTCGATGATGGATGCCTATCGCTGGACCGATTTGACTTGACCAGCTCTGTGTGTTCTGTCTATTCGCTCACAGTGGTGGCAGGCAGTGGTTGTAGAGCACAGCTGTTCTCGTGACGAGAAACTCTATCCAGTGCCGCACGTGGGGCCGCGACAGCCGGAACCGGAGCGCCCTCAGAATCATGACCTTGTGCTGCGTCACATCGTGCAGCAGCTGCCGGTCCACCGCCCAGATGGACAGCTCCGGCCGCTGCATGACGGTCAGCCGCACAAACTCCTCTGTCCGACGCATGAACTGGTAGTCGACCTCATGGTCAAGGGACTCATTCTGAATGGAACACACACGCACCCAATTCTCGAGTGTGTGTGGTGCATTGATCTGTCTGCCTGCGTGACGTGATGCATACCATGTCGGAAGCGAGAAGGACGGCCGCCAGGCAGGCCGTGACGAACTGATATGCCGACCAGGGCCAGGTGGTCTCGCCGCCTGGCCACCCTGATGGACAGGGGCATGATGCAGCAGCAGCAGCAGCGGCGTTTGCGATGGCGACGGCGAGGTAGCGCCGCAGGATGTCCACTGCGTCCAGGAGGATGTAGTAGGGGAAGTGCTTCGAGCGCATCTCACGGTCCTTGCACACTGACAACAACGACACACAGAGATAGAGAAGGACAAGGTGTGTGTGTGTGTGTGTGCTGGTGAAGGTGAAGGTGAGCAAGGCACACCACACTCAGGTACCTGAGAAGACCCACACGCAGAGCTGTGCGAAGTCGTTGTGTAGGCCGTGGAGGCACTCCAGAGGGACGTGGGGGTCGTCCAGGCTCGTCAGCAAGTGACGCAGACACTCGTCACCTGCAGTGCACCACATCCAATGCATCCCATCAGCGCAGACACACTCCACTCAAGACACACACATGCCCGCCCCGCCCCGCCCCATCCCTGCCTGCGTGTCTGTCTGTCTGCACACCCTCCCTCCCCCTCATTCACCGGCGAATTCGTTCTCATAGGCGTCAGTGCAGAATCCGTAGCAACCTCCGTCACCAGGCCCACCAATGCTCCCATCTCGCCCTCCCCGCCCCGCCGTCGCCCGTGGGACATCGTTGGCACGCGCCGACCCAGCCGACGTATGAGTGGCGAGCCACCCGATGTGCTGCAGAGCCACCGGCTGTCGGAAGTGACTCAAGGCGTCCACCTGGGCTGTGTACAGACCCATGCAGACAGAGGGAGGCGCCTGCCCGCAGCTGACGGCTGATGTGGGGTCGGCCATCTTAGCCACGGAATGGGGACTGTCAGAGGAAGGGAAACGTGTTCAACCACCTTTCCTGTGCTGTTGTCATCAGCGGCATCTCTGTCCTCTGCTTGACAATGGCCGTCATATCTCGAACTTTTTCGCGGTTCCCTCATGTTCACTGGCAAACCCTACGAATTCGGGTAGGGTTCGGGTTTTGAGTTAGGGTGGGAGTGAAGCCCAAAAAGAGAGTCCTGAGCTCGCACTGCGTCTGCGTGAGCTCCCCCCGGCAGCTCGTAAAAATGGTGAAGAAGAGCAAGGCGGATCCCTCCCTGCAGGCCGAGGTACGTACATAGGCACGACAGATCTGATCACACAACGCTCCCTGCTTTGCGGATGGCGAGTGAGAGAGATCACACACACACACACACACGCCTGTGTGTCTGTGTTTGTGTGTGCAGATCCACCAGTACCACATTGTGGGTCGCGCTGCGCCGACCGCCAAGAAGCCTCATGTCAAGGTGTATCGGATGCGGCTGTTCGCCAAGAACCCGGTCATCGCCAAGGCCAAGTTCTGGTACTTCATGAAGAAGATCAACAAGGCCAAGAAGTCCGGAGGCCAGATTCTCGCCGTCGACGAGGTCAGCCACACACACAGATGCACCACAGCTGGTGGAGGGGTGCACTGTAGTCGGTGTGTCTTGTCTGTCGTGTGTGTGTGTGTGTGTGGTGTGGTGTGTCGTGTCATGATGTCCATCATGGTGGCCATCAGATTCACGAGGAAGATCCGTCAACTATCAAGAACTTTGCCATCTACCTGCGCTACGACAGCCGGACGGCCACCCACAACATGTACAAGGAGTACAGGGACACCACACAAAACGGAGCCGTCAGCCAAATGTGTAAGCTATGCTAACCTAACCGGCCAACCAACCAACACATCGCGCCATGCACACCCCTACAGACAGCTCAGCACGACAGACACGTGTGCCTTTCGTGTGGGTGCATGTGTGGTGGTCAAATAATCAGACGCTGAGATGGCAGGTCGTCACCGTGCGTTGTCGAGCAACATCCAGATCATCCGCATCGAGGCCATCCCCGACGACAAGTGCATCCGGGAAAACATCACACAATTCCACGTAAGTAACACATGTTACTCAACCCACCAACCACGCACACACACACACACCACTCCCATGTGTGTCATCCATCCATCCATCCATCCATCCATGTGTGTGTTGGGTCGGTATGTCTGTTATCCATCAATCAGGCTGACGACTTGCGGTTCCCCCTGATCCGTCGGCTGCCCATGCCGGAGAAGAAGTACCGCACCACCTTCACCGCCAAGCGACCCACAACCTTCCTGCGCTAGCTAGACAGAGACACTGCTGGCCGGCGGGCGGGTGGGATGTGGTGCAGTACGTGTGTGAGCCGGGACGGTTCTCTCCTTGTGTGTGTGATGCCGGGGCCCATGTGTGACATGCGTGAGACCCTTTATGCATTACACACAGATGAAGATTGTCTGACCAGTGAGTGGGTCTATGCGGTTCTTCGCTGGGTCTGCTTCTGTGGGTCCCTCCATGGTGCTCGGTGTCTGGTCGAACCAACCAGATCCCGAGAGCCAATGAGGGCCGTGACGAAGTAGATTCAGCGAGAGCGCGTTGGACAACGGCATGTGAGACCAACAGAGACACTCAGTATTTTGACCACTGAATGCCTCAAGAAACCGTCAGCCACTGCACACACGACACTCGCAGTTTCCGGCAACTAAGCGTCGGACGTCACACATCAACAGACAGACGCATACAGAACACACCACACTTGCAGACGTCAGCTGACACTCACGCTAGCAGCCCCTTATCCTTGCCCCCTCATCAGCAGTAGCATCAGCAGCATCCTTCACCCCCACCCCGCACAAGAACAGCCGCTGCTGCGCCATCAGCTTGGCCAACTGCACGCTCTCCAGCAGCCCATCACACTCCCACAGGCCATCACCCACGGCAGCTCCTGGAACATCACCGTGGCATCCATCCTCATCGCTACATTTGGCCTGTAGCTGGAACCGGCCCTCCAGCACGCTGCGATGCTGTTGTGCGGTCTTCTGCAGGTATTGGCAACACCGGCAATTCGCCGAGATGACAATCACCTGCAAAGGAAAGATGAGAGCGTCAGGGGGCGGCATGCGTGGCGAGTGGTCCTTCCCTCACTTCAGTCACCTCACCTCACTAACTCACCTGCAGCATTCCCCTGAGAGTGTCATGGTGGTGCAAGGCGTATCTCATGAGCTGCAGGGCGAGCGCCAGGCCATCATTGCCCGCGGCCACCACACACTTGACCCCATCGTCCTTGCGCACCATTCTGTCCAGCCTCTGCATGTCGCCGGCCCCCTCTTGTGGCGGCTCCAACGATGCCGACACCACACTGCCCGGCGCGCATACGCACCCCAGTGGAGGTGGTCGTGGGGACTGCTCTACATCTGTGTCTCCATCCACCGTCGCGAACAGGGCCAGCTCCAGCACGCCGGTGAAGGACGACGGTGGGGTGAGAACGGGCAGGGAAACCCCATTGCGGCAATGAGGAGGCTTCAGCAGCACTCGCCCGCCCAGCCCCACATTGGCCACATGGCGGCCGGACGGCAGGTCGAATCGCAGCACCGCGCACCCTGGGATGGTCCTGTCGTCGATCTCCCGCAGCCTCAGCTCCGCGCTCTCGCCGCCAGGGTGGATGGGCAGGGGCAGTGTCGATGACGACCTTTTGGAGCTCTGTAGGCAGGCAGGCAGGCAGGCAGAGGAATGGTTGGAATGCACTCACTTCCTCATGGCAGGCATGCAGTGGTCAAGTGTAGGTACCTACCCGTGCTGCCCAGTTGCCCGCGAGACGGCCGAAGACGACCGATTCCAAAAGTCCGTTGCCGGCCAGCCGATTGGCGCCGTGCAGACCTCCCACCACCTCACCTGCACAGACACATACAAGAAGGAAACACACACGTGTATGGTATGCAACGATTCTGCTCTGTGTGGTGCGTCCGTGGCCTGCTGTCGGTCGCACCAGCAGCGAATAGGCCGCTAACGGGTCTCCTGGGCGGCTGTGTTGGGACGCCCAGGTCTAGCAGTGGGTCGACGACAGCAGACGGCTCTTCGCGCATCACCTGAGCGCTCGAGTTGACGCACAGACCGCCCCTGCAGTGTAGATGGATGGCACAGATACCAGCCCAGCCACACAGTGAGGGGGTGGGTGAGTAAGGAGGAGTGTTTGCTGTCTGTCGGCCCACACACACACATGGTGTAGTGGAGGCATGGCGTCACGATGGCGATGTAGAAAGTGTCATCAGGGGAGAGAGCCGCCGGAAACACACTCTTGCCTGAGTTCACACAGCGAGTCACACCATCAAGGGAATTCATTGCTCCCTCCCTCGCCGTGTTGTGTCGCCTGCCTCCTTACCAAAGCTGTCCTTGCCTTGGGCCATCCCGTTGCTGTAATCCTTAATTGTGGCGATCAGGCGGTCTTCACGGACGCCCAGCATGGCCGCCGCCTCCCTCAGGCTACCCGCGCTGCGAATCAGACCCTTCTGCTCGTAAAAGCGAAGCGTCCCGGCACCGACCCTGACAACAACCACAACACAGCCACCATGAGGCGGATCTTCCTCCCCCCACCTCCACCCCTCCCCACCCACCGTTGCCTGATGGCCTCATTCATGAGCAGCGCCGCACTGTTGGACGCCCGTCTGGCCGCCGCGCCCTCGTCCTCACCACTGTCTGGCCGCAGCCGGGCGCCCTCCATGCCGGGCCATGCAAGGATGGGTGTGCCGCCTTGCAGGATGGCGTCCGACACGACGCTGCGCTTCTCGAGCTCGTTGACGAATCGCTCGCCTGTGTGTGTGACGAGGATGGCCCCGCACCCCCGGAGCATCTCGGGCGCCAGCCACTTGGTGCTGCTCAGCGGATCACACAGATCCACGAAACCCGTCGGATGCAGCTGCACGCACACGACAGACACAGAGCAGACAGACGAATGAGAATGAAATTTGCGGTGATGAGAGACAGTCCTGCACGCATTAGTTTTGTGTTCCTCTCGCTTCTCACTCACTGACCTGTATGTGTTCGAGGTGCTTCATGGCCAATCCCCTGTGCTGGCCGATCTTGAGAGAGTCGCCCGTGGCGAAGAGCCCGTTGGTGGTTGCGTGATGGGCCAACAATGGCGCCACCTCCTTGAGCAGCGACGGCGCCAGGTGCCCAGGCAGATGGTCACCCTGCCCCTGCTGCTGCGGCAATGCGTCGCTGCTGAAACCACCGGTAGCCAAGACGACGCTGTCAGAGTGAATGGTGAGGGGCGGGGCGGCCGGGCTGTCGTCGGCAGTGGTGTTGGTGGCCTGGATGACCACCCCTTCTGCGGCATGGCCGGGCAGGTGCGGCGATGGGGAGAGGGATGGCTGGGCATCGTTGGATATAATGATGTCCAGCAGCCTGTAGCCCTCCATCACCTGCATGTGCCAAGGAAGCACACAAACACACTTGGATGGATGGCATCCCATCCATCGGGGTGGGTCTTGTTTCGTGTGGTGTGCCTACCGTGATGCGATCGCCGAAGTCTTTGATTTTCCTGACCAGTGCGCTGATAGTGGTCCAGCCGACCGGCACGGGACGACCATCGGGGAGCGGCGGGATGCGGTGAGAACGCGCCGTACTGACACACACAAATACACATGACCATATGCCCCGGCAAGCAGAGCAGTTGTGATCTCTTTCACCTGTGTCCGCCGAGCCGCTCCACTTGGGTGAGGTTGACGCCCAGCGATATGAGCCACTCGACGGCCGACGCGCTGCTGTGTGCCAGCCTGGCCACGAGCTGCTCGTCGGCCATGCCCTCACCTGACACGAGCGTGTCCTGCATGAAGGCCTCAGGTCGGTCCTCGATGCCCAGCGCCCTCTGCACACTCGTGCCGGCCCCATTGATCCCTGACGTCGCCTGACCAGACCACCCGACAGACACACGAACGAATCTATGGGCAAGTCGCAAGCACCCAATGCCTCTTTTTCCCTCTCCTGCCTTTGCAGAGTTGCCGCCGATCTTGTGCTTTTCGATGAGCATTACCCTGGCGCCACTCTCGGCAGCCTGCACACACAAACAACCACATTGCGCAATGGCTTGGGACAGGTGTGGTTTGATCCCCATAGATACCTCAATGGCGGCACAAAGGCCGGCAGCGCCGCTTCCCACGACCACCACATGGGTGTCCAAGTGCGTCTCATCATGCGGCGCCACCATTAACTAGCCAAAAGCTCAGTCAGCCTCACATGATCCGCAGCGATAAGCGACTATTCGATAAGCGAGAGAGGTATCAACATCAACCATGAATTGCGGTGTGATGCCGGGCCTCGGGAAGGAACTGAAAGCCCAGACAGACCGCTGACTCCTTTCTCTCGGCTCGCAGATCCCCCGTGAGCTCGCGCGAACGTGGCGACATTTTTAAAGATGGCGCCTGCTGCAGATGACTCGCCGAGGGGTAAGATGGCCAGATGCAAACAGCGATTGTGAATGAGTCATTCCAATTCTCATGACTCAACCCGCTGTTGGTGCTGTCCGTGTGTGTGCGTGTCAGAGAGCGAGCCGCTGCTGGCGTATCGTGCGCTCGAGGCGCCAATTGTCGAGGATGAGGGCATCTTCGCCGACTGTCTGGGCTGCTTTTACGCCTTCAGTGAGTGCCTGACCGAGAAAGAGAAGGCGGCGCTGAGGCGCTACAAGAAGAAGGCCAGTGTGCAATACGACCCGCAGTCACCCGAACATGAGGTAGGTAGGTACGGATGTATTGTATGCAGCCGCAGCAGTGACCTCCAAGGGAGAGTCTAGACGGTGGTGGGGGGTGTTGATGGGGCACGGACTGCAGGCGCTGCTGTGCAAGTACTTCAGGCTTGCCTTCCATTTGCCGGGTGGGTATGTATGTGAGTGCATACACACCATACGTGGGCAGGGCAGGGCAGCCCCGTGTGGCGACTGGTGTCACATACCTTCCTGGGAGGGGCGAATACATGTGTGCTGCAGTGAGTGCGTGTGTGTGTGTGTGTGTGTGTGCAGACGATGTGGATGTCCCCGAGAAGGCTGACCAGTGGAAAGAGCTGGGCTTCCAGGTACACACACATACATTCACAGCACACGCGACCCGACCAGGCCCTTCCTTCATTCCATTGGCGCCCCCTGACTGACTGCTGTGTGTCGTGTGAACATTTTCAGAATGGGGATCCGCGGAGCGACTTTCGCGGCGGCGGCCTCCTCTCCCTCCAGTGCATGATCTACTTCGCTCATAAGTACTCACACGTGAGCAACAAACACATCCGCAACGAACGCACCCCCGCAGCCGTCATGATGGATATCCATTCGTTCATTCAGCACTTCGAGACCCTCATGCGGGAGTCAAATCGCGACTACGCCGCACGGCGCGCAAGGGACCCCGCGAGCTCGTCGTATGGGATGAACGGCCGAGGCGACTCGCAGGACGGGACGGGGGGCGACCACCAGCAGCAGCGGCGGCAGGAGGGTGAACCCTGGGAGTACCCCCTGTCCGCTGTTTTTGTCAACATCACGGTAGGCAGGGTGTGCACACACAGGCACAGGGAGGGAGGGAGGGAGATGAGATGGAGTGCATGTGTATGTGTGTGTGGGGTGGGGGATTATCCAGCATTTCTTGGTGCTGTATCTGAAGCTCAACCACGCCCCGGGGCACAATCCGGCAGTGGGCAGCGATACGGCCTCCAAAAAGTAGCAACACACACACACGCCCATGACAAGGCAATGACGGGTGTGCTGTTCCGTGCCTTAGGTGTCTGAAGGCCTTCGCCCGACTGGCCCTCGACGAACGAGACGTACGACGTGGCACTCTGCCTGCAGGAGTGCGATGGGCTGACAGAACATACATGATACATGCGTGTGTGATTGTGGCTGCCTGCAGTGTGCCCTTGAGGAGCTCTTTTGCTGTGCTGCCATCCGGATCCACCGGCTGTGGAAGATAAAGTCGTGAGTACCTACCTTGTGAATGAAGAGATGGCCTGACTGACTGACTGACTGCTCCCTCCCGCAATGTCCATGCATCCATGCATCCAATCCATGCGTCAGGTTGAGTCCATCCACGACGCTGACCGACTTCCCCGAAGTCATGCAGAACACAAAGGTTCGCCCGCCGACAGACAGACAGACACCAAGCCCCCACTCTCTCTCTCTCTCTCTGTGTGTGTGTGTGTGTGTGTTCAGCGTGCCATCGTGGGTCTGTTCTCGCGCCGCCCCGATCACGTCCTCGAGTTCCACCAACTCTTCGACACGGTCGCTGCCGCAGCGTGATGTGATCCATCGCCGGCTGACGCAAGCAGACAGACAGACAGATAGACAGACGGCCGGTGCGGGCTGTGTTTGCAGTTTTGTTTCTGTTGAATGAGAGGGCGAGGGGCGTTTTTGTTTGTGCGTGGGGGCCTGGCCTGGCTGGACAGGCGAGTCAGTTGAGGCAGGACGAAGGTGCGTATGTGTATTTGTCAGACGGCGAGGCCAAAGCCGTGACGGCGACATTGACTGACTGAAGCTGGTGAGATCCCGTCGAGACAGACAGACAGACATGCTTTCACTCCACTCATTCATTCATTGACACGTACGTCAGTGTTCGTTCCATCGATGGATGGACGCTTCACCAAATCAAATCCAGCCCTCCCTCCCTCCCTCCCTCCCTCTGTCCCTTGAGCAAACCAAAGTGCCCGCTCGTTGGCTCACTCACTCGAGAGCGCAAAAAAGCCACACACACTCACTCACTCACTCGTGCGATGCGCACACCTGTGTGTGCCACACATTTCTTAGCGTCGTCTGCGTCGTCTGTCGCCCACGCTCCTGCTCTGTGTGGGGGCCTGTGTCGCACACGAACAGGTCTCCAGCCAGAGCAGGCGCGAGAGGGACAAACGACGCAGACAAAGAGACCACACAAGTGGAGCTCTCCACTAGCTCGCGAAAGAGTCATCAGTCATACATACAGACAGACAACGATGTTCCTTCCTTGTGACCAAACCCGCGCCACTCACTGTCTTCCTTCTCCTGCCTCCCTCCTTCCCTTCTTCCACCCACCCACCCTTCCTGCTCAGCTCACTCACTCACTCAACGCATACGATTGGGCTGTCTTGTCTGTCCAGCACCTATCTATCTATCTGCGCAGATTCTGTATCCTCTGGTTCAGGTCATATGCGTCATTGCCGCCACCCTGCGTGTCCTGCACACACCACACCACACCACAGCAACACACACAGAGATCCACCCACGCCGTCCCACCTTTGCACTGCACACATCGCCCCCCCACCCTGCCTGCCACTGACCTCTCCGTAGGGCTTCTGGGGCCCCGCCACAAAGGGGGGGAAGCCGCCGTTGACAGCCACCTGGCTCTCTGGCTCCTGTGCACCTGCGGGGGGCTGCATCGTCTGCACGGGTGGTGGTGCGCCGCTCACATTCCCACTGGGGGGTGGTGCTGCCGAGTCGCTGCTGGCGGGGAACGGCGACGGTGATGGCTGTGGTGTCACATTGGGTGGCATGGGGTGGCTGTCGTGGTAGGCCATCTTGTCCTGCAGCGTTGCTGAGGCCGCTGACGCATCGGAAACACCCCCACCCGGACCACCACCCATCATTGCCGGAGGACCTGACATGGCCAGCCAATGATAGACACACACACACACGTGTGAAGAGCATCGATCCATCCGTAAGGGGGATAAGCACTCCTGTCAGACCTGGTGGTGGTGGTGGCATGCTGGGGAACTGTCCGGCGGCTCCGACGAATGACTTGTACGGCGGGGGCATGGAGGGCTGGGCCCCTTGGGGCATCCCAGAGGGCACCGGCTGCTGCTGCTGCTGTGGCGGGTATGGGGGGTACGGCACCGCCATGGGCATGCCGCCCTGCACCTGCACTGGGAAGGGGTATCCATACGGACCTGGAGCTGACGGCTGCACACCACAGCACACACAGGCGAAACAAGGACATACGGAGATGTCACGGATTAATGGTGAGAGCGAAGGCCGCGAAGAGTGTCTGCCTGGGCTGCCTGCCTGCCTGGCTGTTCCACTCACTCCCCGTACCCTTGGGACGAATGCGTCTCCCCCCTCAGTGGCCTCGTGGACCATGTCATTGAAGTCAGATAATGACGGCTGATGGATTATTGATGGATGACACCGATACACACACATGCACACACACATGCGTAACGATGGTAGCCCTCCATCTCTCCCCGCCTGCCTGCCTGCCTGCGTGTCTGTCTTGTCTTACCTCAGCGGGTTCAGGTGGTGCGTTCCACTGTACGTCGTACTCTGCAGCGACGTCCTTGAGGACCTTGACGACCTCATGCTCGGCGGGCGGCATGACGCTCAGCAGCTGCACCAACTTGAAGTGTACCTCCTGGTTCTTGTTGTCGGCTGCCGTCTCGACGAACTCACGCCCGTACTTGATCTCAAACTGCTTCCGAACCTCTGCCAAATCGTCGATGCCTGCCCGTTTCTCGCAGTAGAGGACGGAGGCAATGGTGCCCGAGAGGTCAGAGGGGCAGTCCTTCTCACTCTCGATGTAGCGCTGACACACATCACATCGACGGTGCACACGCCGTCAAGTAGGCGCACACGACAGCTGTCTGTCTGTTGCTGGGGTGATGCTCACTCACCATCCGTGTGGCGAGCAGGTCGCACATGGTTTCGAGTATGTCCAAAGCGCACTCCATCTTCTGATCCTGGAGGAACTGCTCGGCCTTGATGCGGGCCTTCTCCTCCTTATCCTCGCGAAGCAGATGGGCCATCTCGCGACGCAGCGCCTTCTTGTTGTTCTCCAGCTTGTTCTGAGACAGCTTGGCTGACGCACGACACACACAAACACACACACACAGACACAAATGCCGACGCCGTGCCTGCCTCTGATCTCAGCGTGTGTGTCGATGTCTGTCTATGCTGCTCTCACCTCTGTTGACTGTCATCTTAAGATGTGCCTTGCAGCTCGACCCGCTGAATCGCGAAAACCAAGACATTCTGTGGCAGGGGTCAGATGCGACAACTGAAGAGGGCAGGAGATCTGCACCGATCGTCGAGAAGGTATGCGAGCTAAGCGGAAGAACAGGAAAACGCGCAAAGCGAACGTTGGCGAAAGATATCATCGGCTGCAGCGCCTTCGTCATCCATTACCCGTGCAAACTCGACCCCCCTCAGCAGCCGCAGCAGAAAGATGCGGCGTTCCCCTCTTCTCACATGCGTCCTCGTGTGCTGCTTGCTGGGTGTGTGTCGCGGCCCGCCGGTGTGGAGTGCGATAAAGCCCGACTGCTTGTCTGACGGCATGCAGCTGTGCCTCCCCCTGGCCAGCTCGGGAGCACACGACTGGTACTGGGAGGGCGGCACTTCCACTGAGTATGATGTCTGCAAGTCGGTCACACGGACATCCCCACAGGGCGTACAGCAGAAGTGTTTGTTCGCCCCGCTTGAGGCTACTGTCGACGGACAGTCGGTTACAAACCCATGTGGGAGCACCATCTCCCAGGACAACGCCACGAGCGTCATCACCATCGAGAATGTGGCGGCGTAAGCGGAATAGTCATGATAATGAGCGCATGCACACATGACATTGTGTGGCTTGTTTGTTGTATCGGCAGTATCCCGCCCGGCACACCCATTTTCGGAGGCGCTGAGTCACCGCCGGCCATCACGGCCAGGTGCTACTACCAGGGGAGCTATGACGTCTCGCTCACCGTCCAGATCGACAACGAGGCCAATGTCACCATACCAGGCACGCCATGATGTACACCCACACACACATCCTCATCCTCATCCACATCCGCACACATCACCACCAACCACACCATCTCTGTCTCTTGGTGTGTGCAGACTTGCCGCCCGACCCCGGTGGATCGTGGGATTTCGACAAGGACTGCAAGGACAAGTCGCCCTGGGACGCCCCCATGAACTGCACGGGGAGGCTAGACGACGGCAGGCTCATCATGGAGGGATGCGAGGAGAGTGCATTCATGATACCCTACGGTCAAGGTAAGGTACGTTTGCTCACACAAACAACTGCAGACATACATCGGGTCCCATGGGTGTCTGTCATGTCTCCCTCTCCCCTATCGCCCAACCAACGAACAGGCACGAACCTGCAGAATTTTTCGATAGTGATCGCAGTGGAGGTCTACTCGATCCTGGAGACACGGCCGCAGCCGTTGCTATACCTCCAGCCGCAAGACGCCGCGCCCGGCGAGGGGACTGTCCTGCTCGAGGCCTTGCTGCCGTCCATGCAGGAGACCCCACCAGGCGAAGACCGTGACCCAAGGTCGGTCAGTGACTGCCGCAGAGACATGACAAACGCCGTTCAAGGATGGGTGTTGGTGTTGATTACATGCATATCAGGTGTCCGGCTGAGATCACCGACACTACCATCTGTGCGGCTGGGGTGGACGTGTCTCGGATGCAGGCATTGTTCTGTCTCTTCAACTCTGAGACGGGCCTGCGGGTGCTGCAGGAGGCCGGCAGCGACCCTGTCTACACCGACCCTGACCTCAAACCAGTCGCAAACGAAGGTAGGTATAGCAGCCAGCACACGTGTGCAAGATCGATGGTTCTTCCTCGGAAACACGCCATTATCCCAGATAGATATGGCTTTTCTTAACTGTGTGTGTATGTGTCTGCAGGTGACTGGATCTACCTTTGGTACAAGGGGTTTGCGGAGGGTTGTGTGGAGGCCGACAGGGAGCCGCCAGAGGTGCGGCTGCTGTCACCGCCACATGAGGCAGAGAACGTCACACTCGACTCAGACGTGCTCATCGTATTCAACGAAGAAATACGCGAAAACGGCGGAGCGGTGAGCGGACATTCCCATCCCTCGCGGAGCCGAGACATCTGCCTTTCCCATCCTTCATTTGTGTGTGTATCAGCTGCGCCTGTCCAGCGAGGAGGAATCTTTCCAGGTGGTGATATCGCCTCTGATGGTCCTGGGGGCCGCCCTGGTCGTCCCTCTTAAGAGGCTGCTGCCCAACATGGTCTATGAGGTGCTGCTCACCGAGGCCGCTGTGGCAGACACCGTGGGCAACGCTGCTGCGGCGGTCAGGTGGCGGTTCACCACTGCTGACGGGGACATTGATAATAGGTGAGTGAGCTGGCGAGTGGAAAGGGTGACATGGTTTGGTTTTGGTAAATCGGTTGCAGCGGTCCATATCTATTGTACAACGAGCTGGTGCCGCGGGACGGCAGTGTGGACGTGGACCCCAAGACGAGCCTCTTCCTGCCATTCAGCGAGCCCATTCTGCCGGCACAGGGCAACATCGTGTTCAAACCAGAACCCATCTCACGCAGAAGTAAGTGGGACACACCATATGCACTCCCGCATGTACACAATGACGTGTGTCCCTCCGTATGTGTTGCATGGTGTTGTAGGTCGTGCGCTGCAGCCCTCTGTGGGCCTCGACCCCCCATCCCTGATCCTGGACCTTCTCGAGAGTCTCCTGAACAAGATCATGAGCATCGCGGGCAACGTGCTGACGATATCCCCGCCCTTCGCCTTCCCCCCCGATCAGCTCATCACTGTGGTCCTCCCACCCGGCCTCGTCAAGGACCCCGCGGGCAACCTCTCACCGAAAGTTGAGACCTTCAGCTTCACGACAAAGGCAAACGACGATACAACTCCGCCCGACCTCGGTGGGCAGCAGCAGGCAGGCAGAGACACGTCCGTCCATCACTGGATGGTTGGCTTGTTACAGAGCGCGATGTGGGTGTGAGTGCGTTGGCTCCTGATCACGAGGAGACGGGCGTGTTGCTGGCACTGGACATGATCCAGATGCGGTTCGACGAGCCCATCGTCGTGGCAGCGTCCAACGCCGCCATCACGCTGACGCCCCTGACTGCCGGAGGCCCGGTTGTGGTCATCCCCAACGACCCGTCGTTCTACTGGGTCATGGACAATGACGTGCGGTTCTTCCTCCCCGAGAGCAGGGTGCTGCTGCCGCTGGCCGAGTACAGGGTGGACATCCCCTATGGGCTCATTCGCGACGAGGCCGGCAACATCTGGGAACAGGAGTGAGTGAGAGAGAGACACCACCAGGGTGGCGTGGATCTCCTTTTCTGCGTTGCATGGACACACAGGTCTTTCGAATGGCGATTCACCTTTGAGGGGACGGTGGATGACAAGGGCCCCGTGCCTCTGCCGCAGCTGGCCATCCCCCGGCGCGGCAGCATCGTGGCAATGACGCAAAACGACATCATGTTCCCCTTCGACGAACCCATCGTACGCGGCAGGGGCAGCATCTTCATTTATGACAAGAGGCCTGGCGCCGCATTCTCGATCGCCATCGACATACACGACCAGCAACAGGTGACACGTGCTGATCGATGGGGTGCTGGAAGAGCAGGCCCCACTCACTCGCCCGCGACTCTGTGTGGGTTGCTGCAGGTGTCCATCTCTGACAATCTTCTGTTCATTGCGCCCTCGCTGGCCTACCCCAGTGTCACTGACATTGAACTGCAGTTCCCCCCGGGTCTCCTCACCGACCCCTACGGCAACCCTAGCGAGCCGCTTCCACCCAACACCTACTCGTTCCGCACACAACGACCACTCGACTTGACCGCCCCAAAAGCAGTAGGCTTCACACCCCTGCCCGACAGTGAAAACGCGCCGCTGGTCACGCCCCTCGTCGTCACCTATGACATAAGAGTGCTTCTGGGCACTCCCCTGGAGGAGATCCGCATCGTCCCGTCGACCCCCTCAGCCGACAAGAAAAGATTCTACATCAGAATCGGCGAAGAAGGCAACTCTGACGACGGGCACGCGGAGGCGCTCTTCGATGTGCTGGTCATCACGCCCTCGGCGCCATTCGCCGCCGGCACAACGTACACAGTGACAGTGCCACTCGGGGCGGTCAAGTCGGTGGAGGGGATCTCGTCAAACGAGCAGGCAGTGTGGCAGTTCACGACCGTCGTCACGCCGCCTGAAGCCACGGGGGATCCATTCGAGCCCGTGCTGACCGTCCCTGCTAACGAAGACCAGAATGTGGCTGTGACGACCAATGTGCTGCTGCATTACTCCATGCCTGTGGCCCTGAACCGGCTGGCGGGGTCGGATGGAGTCTCCACCGACCCCCCGGGGGTGGTGCAATTTGTGCCTCTGAGTCCTGCCAGCGACACACTGGAGGTGCCCCTCATTTCTGTCCTGGTGAGAAAGACAGGGAACGTCGCTCACCTGCCTCTCGTCGACCGCCAGTGCAATGTGTCTCAGGTCGTGGACAAGACGGTGATCATCGACCCCCCCAGAGACCTCAAGCCCAGCACAAACTACCAGTTCAATCTCCCCGCCGAGGCCTTCGTCGCTCTTACTGAGACATCTCCCGCCACAGTGAGTGCTGCCTTCGATATGACGTTCACCACTTCCGGCCAGTCGGACACAGAGGCACCCCCGATCGACACCGGCGGCACCTATCCGCCCAGGGACGGGACGGACGTGCCGCCAGACGCCCCTATCGTCATTCCCATCCCCGAGCCCATCCTGCCCTGTGTCAACGACGGCAAGATCATCATACAGACTCCCCCCGGTCAGCCTTACATAGAGATCCCCCTCAATGACAGCAACCACGTGATAATCGAGGGCAGTACGATCGTCATCATTCCCCCTGAGCCCCTGCCGCCAAACAGCCAGATCATCGTAAAGCTTCCGGCGTGCACGGGCGAGGACGAGAATGGCAACGAGACACCCGAAAAGGACATCGAGTTCCCAACGGGGGAGGACAACCTGACCACGCCAGAGAAAGGCGGACCGGACGATGAGACGAACCCCGGCGTGACGGCCATCTTGCCTGCGAATGGGTCTGTGGATGTGTCGACTGAGGTGGACCTGAATGTCATCTTCACCGAGAAGGTGGAGGTTGTTGGCGGTGTCCTGCTGGTGGTGGCGACTGATGGGAGACATGTGATAGAGGTGCCCCTGGTTGAAAGGGGCGTGCTGGCGACGGGCGTGAGCCTGCTGGCCGACGATGTCCTGCTGAAGATCATCCTGCCGGAGCCACTCAGATCTGGAACCAAAGTGGGCGCTACTTCAAACGCACACACACAAATGCCACTCTTCTCCCTGTTTATCAGTATGAAGTGTTTCTTCCGGCCAACACCATCACCGACCCCAACGACAACCCCTTCGGCGGCTTCGGCCCCGACCCTCCAGGCCAAGAGTGGACCTTTACCACAGTCGCCCCATCAGTCTACGGCAACCCCCCGCAGTTCGTCGGCATCCGCGTGGATCCCGAGAACGACCGCGTCATACTCGAGTTCGACCAGCCAGTGCAGCGGGGCGACGGCCAGACAGTGGTCATTGTCCCCACTGGGCCTGATCCGCCCACCAAGGAACCCATTGTGATGGACCTCACCGATCCTGAACAGGTAGGTGGGAGACATGTGTATGTGTGTGTGTCGTGTGCAGCCTGGCGTGTTGTTGGTCACTTAGGTGATCGTAGTGGGGACGACGGTGATTCTAGATCCCCCGACGATATTGCCTTCCGACACCAGCTTCACACTCAAGGCTCCAGAGGGACTCGTTCAGGTGCGTGGGAAGGAACAAGGCACGCAAATATCAGAACCCGTCATCCTTGCTGATCCTTGCCCGGCCATCTCTACAGAATCCTGATGGGTTGCCCAACGCCGCCTTCGAGAAGGAGTTCGACAGCAATACGCTGATCACTGAAGACTTCCCCCGACCTGCCGTCAGCAGCCTGCGGCCGCGGCCATTGGAACCTGACGTGTCTGTGTCAACGAGTGTGAGTATCACTTTTGACCGGGACATAGTCGTCACGCCGGGGGCGCAGTTCTATTTTTCCAATATGGAAGACGGGCAACCGACCGGCGGCCAGATCATTGACTTGGAAGACCCTTCCATGGTGATCTCGCCCACCACTAACTCATCCACACCCACGCAGTCACTTGTTTGCGTGTGTGCTGCCAGGCGTATGTGTCAGGCCCCCTTCTGGTCATCAAGCCGCCCCTTCACTTCCCCCAGCTGTCCAATATATCCGCATCATTCAGCTCGGGGGCCATTGAAGGCACTAACGGAGCCGGCTTCGACCTCTTCACCGCCACGGTCACGGCGCACGATGGCAGCCAGATCCTATTCAGCGACTATGTCTTCTACACTGGCGTGCAAACGGACGAGCAGGGGCCCACCACCGGCGACCCCGAAGACAGTGAGTGCGGAGAGAGAAAGAGGCTGGACTGCCGGGATGGCATTCATTGTATCTGTGTGTATGTGATGCCACAGTTGGCAAGTACCCAAAGCCTCCGTTCCCGCCAGTTGACCCCGGGAACACGTTCCCCCCACCCCCGTACTGCATCATCCCGCCTCCATTCAGCTACGAGCCCGACCTGGTGGAAACACTCACGGGCTCCGACAACCCCCCACCCATCACCATCATATGCATTCCCGACTTCACCCTCACTTTCCCTGTCAACGACGAGACAGTAAGATCGTCCACAGGGTGTGTCTCTGTCGCTTTATGCTGTCTCTCTCTCTCTGTGCTCGTGTCAGGTGAGGATTGAGGGTGAGTATCTGCTGATATGTCCGCCGGAGCCGCTGCCGCCTTTGTCGGACTGCAAGGTGACCATCGGCAACGGCACTGTCGAGGACGAGGCCGGTAATCCAAACGGCGGAGAGGAGATCGACTTCGAGACACCTGACAATCCGGACAAGACCCCGCCACAACTGATAGAGGAACTTCTCAGACCGAAGAAGCAATCCGTCAATGTGCCCACGGATGTGTCAGTGGGTACGCTGATGCAGTACTTCGTATGTTGCCCCTCACTTGTTTGATTGGTTGCAGTGTTGGTGTTCAATGAGGACGTCCGCGTATCGAGCTCCCCTCTAACCTACCCGGCTGCCCTCACGGTCGAGGAGAGGACCAACGGCGACTTCGTGGACGCGCGAGTCCTCCCAGTCACTAACGACATGGTAACAAGACCCACTGATGCCGGTTTTATTACCATGCACGAACGTATGCATCTGCGTCTCCGGCGTGGCTGGCGGCAGATAATTGGTGCAACGGTGGTGATCAACCCTCTTCGCTTCTTCCCGGGTGATAAAGAGATCCGGGTGGGGATGGAAGAAGGCCTCTTCGTCGACTATTCGGGCAACCAGGCCGCCAGCTACAAGTGGACCTTCCGCACGGCTGCAAAAAAAGACAACGACGGGCCCAACGCCGTGGTGTACTTGCCCTCGGATGGTGCGACGGATGTGCCGGTCATCGGGACAAGCCTGGTGGGTCGGTGACGACACAAGAGAAGTCCGCGTCAAACAGGCTTTGTGTTACTTGCCTGGTTGATTGCAGGTGATTATGTTTGACGAGGATGTGGCGCCCGGTGAGGGTGAGGTGCGGGTGACCGCCTCACAGGTCAACAATCCCGGCCTGCCCTTCGACCAATCATTCGCCGTCGACATCAACGATCCAAACCAGGTGAGCAGGCAGGCATACAGCACCCACCCAGCCAGCACCTCGGCTCTTACCTCTCATTCTCGTGTCTCAGGTGAAGTTTGCGGGCAGGACCGTGACGATATCTCTGGTGCCCATGCTCGATAACACCCTCCACGAAGTCAGCATCGCCGACGGAGTCATCACTGACAGGCAGGGCAACGATTGGACGCCCAATTCACCAGGCCCCCTCAACTGGCAGTTCACCACCGTCGACATCGCTTACCCCTTCGACCCCCTGGCCCCGCAGGTGCTGCTGGACTTGGTGTACCCCAAGGTCAACGAGAAGAACGTGAGCATCGCCACTGTGCTGGTGGTCGTGCTGGACGACCCTGTCGTGCCTGGCAAGCGGCCGGCAAGTCCCGATGAGGGCACCATAAGGCTCATGGCCAACAACACCAACGTCTCTGATGTCGAAGTGGACGCAACCGACACATCCACCGTACAAAGCAGACAAACAGACAGACAGACAGAGATATCACCCATCTGTCCCTCTCTGTCCGTCTGTCTGTCAGTGCCGGTATGGCAATCCCCCGACAATGGTCATGTGCGAGATTGCCCCCCTGAACTACTCCATCCTCTACAACGTCACGATCGTAGAAGGGGCTTTCCTGGGCCTGGAGAAGAAGCTGCCGTCGGAAGAGGTGGAGCCGCACGAGTGGAACTTCACCACGAGGGTGGACCCCATGTACAACAACACCAACAATACGGGAGGCGACTCGGCATGGGACGGCGGTCACTGGTACAACGACACCCTCAATGAGACCGACCTGCCCGACCCTGGTCAGTCATCCTTGTCGGAGAGACACAAAGAGAGAGAGTAGACAGGGAGAGACGAACGGGAACAATCCCGTTTGTGTTGGTGGCTGTCTGTCTATCCATCCCCAGACATCATCTTCGTAGAGGACCGCGGCACTTTCAAGGTGCTCTTCCACATATGTGCGGACCCGACGTGCTCGGGTGGTGGGCAGGGGGCGCTCTACAAGTACGGCGACAAGTCACAAACCAAATACTACTACGGAGCGGAAACAACCGTACGTCAAGTCTTTTGACACACACAGACTACCGATCGGCGAAAGTTCCGGAGCAATCCGTTTTGTGTGTGTGTGTGTGCAGGCTAGTGGCTTTTATCCTGTGTTCAAGAGGTGTGTGGCTGACCCCGTGGACAAAAGCGTCGTTGAATCGCCGAACACATTCACCATGGCAAGCCGAAGGCACTTCTTGCTCTGATCCTTCACCCTTTGTTTCTTTCTTGCATATGGCATGTGCCTGATTCACCACCCACCCCTTGACCCCTTCACAGTTAGAGGAGCACTGTGCGCCGATCCCGAATGTGGCAGCGTGGGAGCACCACTCGATGCAGATGTGGTCGTGGGCCTCGACACACTCGTTCACCTTCTCGGGATACACCACTGTCTACCTAACATGCGACATCACCATGTGTCTCGACCCCTTCTGCGGCGTCGACTGCCCCGCCAGGTGAGGACGAATGGGAGCAGTCTGCATCGGCAGCACGCGAACGGCGATCTGGCTGTGCTGTTCTCTGCGTTCAGCCGTCGAGCGCTTCATACAAGCAGCAGGAGCCTCCAGGGTGATGGCTTCCTCCCGGGCCCCTCCCCTTTAGCGCTCGGCCCCTTATTCGGCCCTCCAAACCCTGTCCTCGTGGTCGGCGACAGTGGCGCCATCGTCGTCCCTCCCCCTGACGGGAGCGGCGTCGACAAGGACGGCGGCAAGGATGAGGAGCTAACGACCCTGGTTGTCATCTTCTGCGTGGTCGGGGCTCTACTGCTCGTCTCTGTGGTGGGGTGGTTCTGCTACAGGAGGTGGATCAAGTCACGGTCATCGGCAGAGATCCCGCACCCGCACACTGCCGACCACATCGACATCCGCTCGTCGCCGCCCAGGTCGCCAAAGGCTTACCAAACCCTCGGTGGAGAGACATACGAGGACATCGAGAAAGCGGCCAGCCCCGAGCTGCAGGTGCTACCCCCAATGCCCCCCTATGAGCACAGAACTGACGGCCTCTCCCCCGAGAAGATCAGGATCACCGCCCCCGAGGAGGACACCGACCATGGCGGAGTGGAGGAGGAGAATGACATGCCGCCGATCGGGCAAACACCTGTAGGGGTCGCTGTAGGGGGCCATCGTTTCTCTACCGGTGTCATGTCGATGGGGCCCACACCGGCGCACATTGCGGCCGTGACTCCGACCAGTTTTTTCCCTCAAGTGGAGAAGCCGGACAAGCCCGAATCGCCGACTGCGAGAAGGGCGGAAAAGGACGAGCCTGAGGGGCTTGAGATAGACAATCTGGACGATCCATTGGCCTATGAGTTCAAGACGCTCTCACCCAAGTCCAGGTGACCGACGTGTCGAGTCAGCGAGAGAGGGAGGGAGGGAGGGAGGGATATGTCGGTTGATGTGAGATGGATGGTCGGTGCTGGGGTATAGGTACGAAGTATTTGACGGAGGCAGCTTCTGTGGTGGTTTGTACAGCATGTGTGTGTGTGTGTGCGCTCTCGCGGTGTGTGCAATGGGCCATTTTTGAGGAGTTAAGGTAGTTGAGTGAGTGTCTCATAGGAGAGTGTGTGTGTTGATCTCTTGGATTGAGTGAGTGTCTCATAGGAGAGTGTGTGTGTTGATCTCTTGGACGGTCTCATGTGCTCATAGGATGATGATTTGGACCTGTCTGCTCTCGCACACGAATCGGATTCTTTCAATATATTCAATCAATGCGCGCTTCAGGCGACGAGATATGTCTGAAGGCCGAGCAAGAGACAATGATGAATGTCATATGGGCAGACGTACAAAAGGGTCACACTTGCAACAGATATAAAGTGTAGGCAGCAATAAAGAACCC